GGTTCTTGGCGCCAAAACAAGCCGCGGGCCCGCCCCCTGCCGGATCTATGCGGCACGTAAGACACGTAACCGAAACCCTCCGCGTTCCCAAAGAGTCCCGCCGAGGATTTCCCCGGATACACGCTTTCCCACCGCCAAGAGCCTTCGGAGGATAGAAAACGAGCCTCAGAGGTACATCATCCTTCTGTTCGAATGGAAATGCAGGTTCCATCGTCGTTTTTTCTTCACAGATCCCTCCGCCAGAAATTGTTTTCCGCAGTCTCCACTTCCGGGTTCGCCATTTTGTTGCCTCCATTTCTCCACGAGGGGGGTTAAAGGCCCCCAAAATATGCATAGATGAAAAGGCCAAAAAGTAACCGTCACTGACAGGGAGTCTAAACGAGAGGAGGAGACGGCACCAAACTGGCGGGTCCGGCGAGAGCACCACCGGCGGCGTCCCGGACGAGGAGGTGAGGGGGAAGAGAAGATACGTGGACCGGGGTGTGGGGGGCCCGCGGGAGGGGGCCGTGGAAAGTTGCACCGCTTCCCGGCACAGCCCCGAACTTCCGGGCGCGGACAGAGCAGCGCCCCTTCGTCGGAGCGGGGAAACCTGGGGCCGGGGGACGCAGAGGAAGGGGATGCTGCCGGGAGGAAGGGGAGGGGACTGGGAGGAGGGGAAGGAGGGGGTGGGTGCAAGACCCGGGGCTGGGGAGCTGGACCAAGGGAAGCCAAGGCCGTCGAGGTGACCACTAGGGGGCAGCGCGGAGCTCGGGCCGGGCTGCTGCCTCCGCGGAGATCTGGGCTCCCGGGCTCTTCCCGAAAGACAGACCTTTAGGAGAAAACGGGGACTCATGCCCGGCCCCAGCAAGAGCCTGAAGGTTATCAGTGAGCACGCTAATCCGAAAAGGGGGCTAAGGGCCCCGCCTCCAGTTCTTTCTTTTTTTCCTATTTTATTTTTTTAAGAGAGAGAAAGGGCCCTGGCCGGTTTGGCTCAGTGGATAGAGCGTCGGCCTGCGGACTGAAGGGTCCCAGGTTCGATTCCGGTCAAGGGCATGTACCTGGGTTGCGGGCCCATCCCCAGTGGGGGCTGTGCAGGAGGCAGCTGATCGATGTTTCTCTCTCATCGATATTTCTAACTCTCTATCCCTCTCCCGTCCTCTCTGCAAAAAATCAATAAAATATATTTTAAAAAAAGAGAGAGAGAGAGAGAAAGGAAGGGAGAAAAATATTTTGTCGGTCCACTTCCTTATGCGTTCACCGCTTGCGGCATGCATGTGCCCTGGGGACCAGCCTGCAGCCTGGGTGCCTGGGGAGGAGGCTGTGACCAGCTGAGCCTCAGCCTCCAGTTGCACAGTCGTTTGTACAGCTGGCGGCTCAGTGGGGAGACGTGGGGTAGAAAAAGGGAAAATCAAGAAGGTCAGACCATGGTTTCCTCAGTGCCAGTTCTCCCTGCAGTTAGCTGTCTGTGTGCTGAGCTGTACTTACGCCAACAAAGATCATCCCCACCCGATCTCTTAAATCAACCAACGTAATTAGTCTCTAATTACTGGCCAATAATAGAGTACTTTGTCGTCAAGAGCTCAAGCACTTCATTATTAAAACACGGTTATTGAAAGCTCGTGTGTGTGTGTGTGTGTGTGTGTGTGTGTTTGTGTTTGTGTTTGGGAGAGGATGTGGGTGTTTTATTCATCTTCAAAGTCCTGCGAGTCAAATTAGATCAAATTTTGTTTCTT